GAATGCCAAGTGTAAAAGAATGAGGTTGGTGGGTTGGTTGGGGTTTTAACACCACGCCAGCTTCCTTGATTATTTTCATAGTGAGTAACAAGTTGAAATAGTATAAAAGGGCAATTTGTCAGGTTTTTTATACTTCAGATTCAGATTTATTTAGATTAGAGTTTTAGATTAAAAATAGATTCGGGGTTGACTTCGCCTTCAAGATCTTCATTTGATATTAAGCACTTGTGTTTTACTTAGTTTCTTGTATATACATATGTGACCCTGGAGCACAAAAGCAGTGTTAAGTCGCTGGGGTATATTTGTAGCAATAGCCAACAATACATTGTATGGGTCAAAATGATCGATTTTTCTTTTATGCCAAAAATCATTAGGACATTAAGTAAAGATCATGTTCCATGAAGATATTTTGTAAATTTCCTACCATAAATATATCAAAACTTAATTTTTGATTAGTAATATGCATTGCCAAGAACTTAATTTGGACAAATTTAAAGGCGATTTTCTCAGTATTTAGATTTTTTTGATTTTCAAATAGTTGCATCTCGGCCAAATATTGTCCTCCTATCCTAACAAACCATACATCAACGGAAAGCTTATTTAATCAGCTTTCAGATGATGTATAAATCTCAATTTCGAAAAATGTACCCTTATGACTGGTTTTGTGGTCCAGGGTCACATTTATCCATCCATTCATTATATAATCACTTTAATGTTCCATTTAATCATTTAAAATAATAATTTAAACCATCTGTATACTTGTTTCATTAATTAGCCATTTAAATTATTTTATTTGTATATTATTTTCCATTGTTGTTTAGTCTTACGATTGTGGTTTTAAGGGATATTTGTCTTCACGAGTAAGAGATATGTTTTTTAACGTCACAGGACGATGTTGTGAAGCAGTACATTTTTATTGCTATTGCTTGTGGTATAATAACGCTTGTTGGATTTGTGTGGGTCAGATGAAGTCTGAGCACTGAAACATGCACAAATAAGATTATTTAATAAACTCTGCACATTTTTTTTTTTTTACCATCATTACATTATCTCCTGCTTTTGCTCTTCTCTGGCTTTACTCAGTAGACTTCTCAGCTGACTGAAGATTAATACAGTTTTGGGTAAAATCTGAGGGAGTTATGAAACACTTTTCAATATCTGTGATGAATATCGTATTTGTTCGTTCCTTGGGATACCACAATGACCAGATACCCAACAAAGTTCTGTGTTTCCAACAATTTGTAAAAGAGTGAGGATTTGATTGATAAAATGCATGTATGCAGATAACCTCTGCACTGATAATCTTACCTTTGAAGGGTTGAAATTGACATTTTTAGCGCTGCCATGCTCATCGCCTGAAACAGCTGGCTGGTTGTTAAATCCTTGCTTGACGTTCAATGCCGTCAAATCATCCTAACCATGAGAGAGTGATAGTTTCAGTTATTAAAGGACTCATGCATGCATATCTCATTCTCATTTCATTGTGCTGGAGGGTTACTCAAACGCCAGAGACTTAATCACTCATTCATCCTAATGAACTCTCAAAATGCATCAAGACAAACACTGAATTCAGAAAGAAAAATCTGCACGAGCAATTATAAGACATCACATGCAATGCTGAAAAATACGACTTATGTTATGATGCACTCTATAAAATGAAACAGTTATTCAAATATACTTTCATATGTACTTTCTGTTGTTGACAACTGAGACTGTGTCTAGCTAAACCGCACCTAAAAGCATTTTATGCATCATAGGCATGTACATAATTTCTCCTTTTTCTGTGCATGAATAGATCAATAATGTACAAAATGTTTTATGAACCCATAGGTTTTAAAACGCATCCATGAGAAACACATCAATTCAAAAGGTGTTGTCAACAAACATACACATCCCGACCGTACTAGAGGCTATTGGGATTGTTTACATCTTTAGTATTTATTTGCAAGTAATATAGCTTTATTTATTTCTTAAAATACATAAAATAATGATTAATAACGGTTGTGGGTTTCATGTGTGGCCCTTTTAAATGGCACTGTAACGATGAAAGGGCTTTAAATAAAAAGCACGGTAAATACAGATTCTTAAAGCTGGGTTTCACAAATAAAATGACCCTTTCCACTCTCTAACCATCTGCAATAACAACCACAGATGAAGACCGAAATCATTTGAGGCATAAATGTTGTTTTTGCTAACCGAGCCGTTGGTTTCATTGTTATTGGACGTTAGCTGACGGCGGGGCCTGATCTCAACCGCCCTGAAAAACACACTTTAATTCGCTATTTAAATATTAAATGTCGCTACAGAGGAAGAGAGAAAGTCGTCTAACCTCCTTTTGCTTCGGGTCCTGCGGATAAACGTCCGGAGGACCGAGTCTGGGCCGTTTAAGAGGCCTGTGTTCGTAGCTCAGAATGCCGAACGCAGCCATCATCCCCGCGGCATGTCAGCCGGTGTGTGGCCGATCCTGAGCGCTGCTTCTGCGGCTAGAGCTCCGCTGCTTCACCGCTGCTTCCGCTCCGACGAGAATGATGGGTAAATACGAGACAACATAAAAGTCCCTCCAACACAACAAGTTTTTTTATTGCAATCTTTAGAACAACGAACATGCGAGGGCAATAACATAAATTCAATGAAAATATATATAATAAAAAAAAAACAAAGACAATTAAAAAATAATAAAATAGGAAAAGCAATAAGAAATTCACATGTCCATAACCAGTGTTGGGGAAAGTTACTTTTAAAAGTAATGCATTGCAATATTGCGTTACTCCATAAAAAAGTAACTAACTGCGTTACTTAGTTACTTTTTTTCTGAGTTGCATTATTTTCATTCATTTTGAGGAATACTGAATCGGTGTTTTTGTTTTTTTTTGTGTGTGAGATGAATTAATGCATATTCATATTTATTTTAGAACTACAGTAACATCTGATTTCTCTCAACATGGGGACAGGAGAGCTGTCAGTCAATAAATTGGAAAAAAAAGTAACTTGCGTTACTTATTTGAAAAAGTAACTCCGATATTCTCTTGTAAATTAAAAAGTAATGCGTTACTTTACTAGTTACTTGAAAAAAGTAATCTGATTACGTAACTCGTGTTACTTGTAATGCGTTACCCCCAACACTGTCCATAACAAGTACAAATAGTTACAAATTATTCAAATAATATATTTAAGGTTTCAAAATAATTTTTCGCTTTGTTATTTCTTGTTTATTTTAATTTCTATTTTAAAAGGAGTAAAATGAGTTTTTTTCACTGCCCGTTTACATTTGTGGATGAAGAATTTTCCATATATAATGAGTAAATTCACTATATACCATATTTTGAAGTGAACAGTATGCTCATAAAAAATAAAACATCATTTTCTTTGAGTTGCAATTCAATCTTAGTATTTTGTTTAACAAAAAACGCGAAATTACACCAAAATCACTTTGTGTAAATACTATAACAAAATAAATGGACAATACTCTGTTTCCTCTTTACAGAAAACACACTTCAAGTCAATGTCTTTACGAAACTTTGCAATGACCTGTTTTACAGGATAAATATGATGAACAATCTTAAATGATGCCTAACTTTATTTGTGATACAAAAACGTCTGGAGATCTTAAAGGTCTCTTTCCAGTTGACATCTCGAAATTGTGATCTCCAAAAACCAATTTCTAAAGGAACACTGGAAATTTGGCATTTTTACTTGTTATATCAGGAGGTCCCGCAGCCTCGTTCTGGTTCATTTGCTTTGTGGTGTTTTTGATGACTGATCATATTAGCAAATGAAAAATGCTTTTTAAGTTTACTGTTCAGGATGATAAAAGTCCTAAGTGAGTGCCATGGATAATGAGTAATATTTCATACATAATGTTTATATAACGTTTGTCTTTATATAATGTATGCCATGTCAAAAAAAGTCCAGACAGGTAAAATAACGCATAATTATAAACCACATGAAAACTGACTGACAAAAGCTATTAAAACACACACACACACACACACACACACCCCTCTCTCTCTCTCTCTCTCACACACACACACACACACACACACACACACACACACACACACACAAACACACAC